ACCGAACAGAAATACTTGAAAATTGAATACGAAGTTGTATTTTATAGTTAAAAAAAATATTTGAGTTTGAAGCGTAGATATTTTTTTCGGAATTTAATTAAATATTTAGACTCAAATCATAAAATCATAGTACTTCAACAAATCTTTAACCGAATTTCGCTCAGAACTATATTTTGTTTCCAATAATTAATCGTTGCGTATAGGTGTAGATACAATACATTTATTTATCCTGTCTTCTTCATTTCTCAACTATAATAGTAGCATACCCATCGGCAGTATCAGCTCTGTTCAAGTTAGTGATGGGAATCCGAAATCCGAATTTTTCAAAAAACCACTATTTAAACCCTTGAAAATCTATTAAATATTAAATATTATTACAATATAAAGTTATGTACCTAAGTAAAATGTTTAGATAAAAATTCGAAAAAAAACTCTTAACTTTAACTATAAAATGCTTTCGGATTTCGGATTTTGGATTTGTTAAAATTCGAAAATCCTGATTCCAAAAGCAGTTTAATTTTTTGGTGCTTGTTTTATTTTTAAATTTTCATAAAAAATATTTTACCTACGTACACAGCTTTATACTGTAAAAATATTTAACACTTATATTACTTTTAAGCGGCTTAAATTGCGATTTTTTGTGAAAATCCGGATTTTAGTACCTGTTATTAACTTTAAATAATATTCTCATACAATAAATATAGATATCTAAACCATATGTGTAATACACTATTACGTTTTATAAACTCCACAATACAAGTATAATTGGAAAATTAGGAGGCGTGGAATAGTTATTATCAGGGCTCATAACTTGCAGCTCTGAAAAAGGTTTTTATAAGCGCATTAATATGCTTTTGAAAACATGTATATAAGCGCTTAAATATGCACTAAAAATGATAAAATATCCAAACGATACCGGAATATCTAGAAAACTATAAAAATAAATTACTAATGCACGTGATACAATTATAATGGTTTCCCTATCGATATGATTACCATTTTACTGAGTTGCAGTGGACGTTAATAGAAACAAGTTAATTTGTAGATATTCAAAACTATTTAAATTCAACTTTAAGTATATTAAGTATATTTTGGAGTCTATGCTATTGAAATAGCGCTAAGCGTACAAAAAAAGCAAAATAGCACTTAAACTTCGAAATATGCAAAAATATGCAACATAAACTTTCGTGTATAGCTTCGCGATCTTAATTTCATTACCTGAAAAAAATTAATTGTTTAAATTGTATACCTACGTTTATCTCTGTGGTACTAATATTTAATATTCTCCGTTTACAATGACTATTACAGTTTGGCTTTAATTAGTAGTAAAAAATTACGTTTCGCACCGATGTGATGACGGACCCAAGATATTTGCATTTATACTTTACAATAAAGTGTGGATGCGTCTGTTTCTCGTATTTTATATTTACACGGTTAAACCTACTTTAAACGTACAATGAGTACTTAAAACAGTTAAAGCGACTATAAGTAGCACGTAATAAATATAATATTTTCGTGTAAAAATTACTTATTCAGATTCAAGTAGTTTTTTTTTTTAACGACTAGGTTATAAACAGTACCGGATCTACACATTTTGGTACCTGGGCATAAATAACATTAGTATTAACACCATAACATGTTTTTGACACTTTCTAAGTATAATTTGTGTCCCTCCCCCCTATGATTAAGAAGAGAACGTTTCAGAATAATATTGCTAAACTAATAGCGGCTAATTAGGCGATAAGCCAATAAGAACACAATGTATTGATGTATTATATATATTTAAATTATAGTTCTATAATAATAGTTTCTATTATAGTTCTTTTTAATCAAATAAAATTAAAATATTTATATTTTTATGCATCTGTTGTTGAGGTGCTCTGACGTCCGTGGGCAACAACTACCGTATGGCGTGGCGTACACCTTAACCCGTTACTCCACTAGGCCTGGCACAGACATAAATCCTCAAATAATTTAAGTTTATTCCATACTGATATATTTCTACCCTTACGATGTTGTTCCTCAATTTTATTTCATTTAAATATTAAATTAAGTCAACAACCCCATTAACTAGCTGTTTATTATAATAGGTATCTATATACTATTAAAATTAAATCTGGGAATGTAATGTTCTATAAAACTTTAAAAAAATGTCCTTTAATAAAGGCTTTTATGCCCTAAATATTCTAAATAATGCATTCAAATTGTTTTATTTTCAATAATTTTGGTATAAATACGATCGTCGAACGGTTTGCTCTGTAAAAGTGTATCGGAATCCCAGCCTTAATTCAATAAATAAATAATTAAAGTAATAGCGTAGGTACGCACGTTAGATTTTATTGAGAGGGTTTTGTCTAAGGTTAATTACAAACTCGAGTGGGACTCTTTTCGCCCAAACATAACCTTTTGCTTTAAAAAATAAATTATACAATAACTTCATAGCTATAAAAAAAAAAAAAATTGTATTTAATGTGATAGAATATAGGAAAAAAGATTTGCGCTGTTACATGGATTATTAAGTTTGCTAAGTATACATTATACGTTGTTATTAGATACAGGTTGAAAATAACTATTCAATATTTATATATTTTTATATATGGATGTTTTTTAACATTAAAAATCATCTTTAAATAAATGTTTGTTTTGAAATTTAAAAGCGTAGAATTATAATAAGTTAATGCAAGATCGCCTATCTATGTGTGGACTATACATTTTTACCGACAGATTTCTCAAAATAAATAACGCCAGGGGCTTTCTTTTATTATCATTAATATTTACTCAGTAATTTAAATTTTTTATTAACCACACTTTCTAAAGTAGTAATTTAAATGGTAGAATATTAAATGTCTAAAAATTATCATTTGAAGAGCAATCTAACCTACCCTTCCTCAGACATGTACGTACAATTTAATTTTATTGAGTTACTGAAGGATATAATATAGCATTCTGATTTAGGCCTCCCAGACTAGTAAACCATACTGAAACCATACTGACGCTATACACAGATTATGAATAGGAATAACGTAACGTAAATTATAAAAATTTGAGGTTAGTATCATGTGATATGGTAGATACTTCTAGATACTTCTTCACAAAGAGCTCTATGTACAAATAATGATTTTATCAATATGATTTTTAAGAACATGTCTCATCCACAACAATTCAGATAATTAATACGTTTTTAATTATTGCTCAGTAATAAATTATTGTCAATATATTGTTTGTTCTATAATGTATATTTGTGTATCGAATGCTAATAGATAAGTAATGAACGGAAACGGAAAACCACATAATAGATTATTAGGATGCGGTATTCACTGTTATGGTTTGCAATACTCGGTAAGGTCAATGATTATAATACTTGTTCAATCCCTAAAGGATGGCTGACACTGTACATTTGGTTTTATAATTCAAAAACTAAATTGTCATAATAATAATTTGTATTATTTAATGTGTCTACCACCCTTGCATTCCTGTTGACAAAAAGTAGCCATTACCTTACTCAACAGTTGCAGATCAGCTAAAATGGCATGAAAAAAAAAAAATTACAAAACGTTTGATATTTTCATTGGCGCTTCTCTGATCTCTATTCGACGCCCTCTGGTGACAGCGCCAGGTGCGTGTGCATCTTTCGCATCCCCCATAGGCATGGCTTTATAAAATATATTAGTGAAAACTTAGTCAGGAGCCACGAATAACTTGAGGCCAGTGGCGTAATTAGAACTTCTAATGTCCGTTAAGAATAAAAAAAAAGGGCCCTGATTTGGAGCTTCTAAATGTCATGGGCCCGTTGCCCATCATGCCACCTTATCGCTACATCATTGCTGCGTGAGGGACGAAGCCCAGTGTGGTTTTAGGTTGAATTCAATTGTTGTGAGGGACGCTAAATTTGTTTAAGTTCATAGTCCTTCTTTTTTTTTTTATTTTTCCAATTCAAGCACTGCATAATATGCTCAATTATAATTTTTAATTTAAACTATTTTTGCAGTACATACATTGTTTATGATCTCGGGACTCTACGAAAATTCATATTATGTGTTCGAGAAGTATATAGGAACATGGGATAATATTTTAGTTCAATAAAAATGTTTACGCAAGGTATATTTTTGAGCCGAATTCCGATGTTGTTTGTAAAAACAATTTCAGTTTGTCTTGGATGTCTTAATATTTCATGTTCTCACAGGCGTAGCCTGCCATCACAAACACATATAGGTAGGTGTAGGTACACTCAACGTCAACACTGCAGTGTAATATACACAAAATAAAAGTCGTGTCGTGTCGTATCTGAATATTTATAATAATATGGTAAAACACCGATTGTTCGCAAGACATTTTAAGCCACGATTTATTGGTTTATTTTCCTAAACGATGTAATTTTTCATCGGTTTTCCGATGACGCACGCCGGCGGCGATAAGAGCATTGTTATTAATAACCATCGTCGGTGAGTATAATATGTATCGATCGTCGGTACGGCCGGTGAATCACCGAAATTTCCACTGGGACGGAAAACATTGCGAAACATAATTTCGCGCGCCGCGTCTTAACGTATTATATCGTTCGGCTTCAACATCAAGGGCAACGAGAAAACTATCACTGAAACGCACCCCGGTCTCCGGACCCCGGTAATCCCCGACAGCCATTCGAAACGGAGGCGGTGTCGTGACCTGCCAGCAAACGCGACATTGCCGGTAATACGTACACAGGTACACTGCCAATGCGCGTTGTATCGTTGATATTTCGCATTTATCCGTACACACTACGCGCTGTATAATTACTTTTCGTTCCGATTTCATCATGTTGCGGACTCTATATCTGCCCCGCACGTGCGAATTAATAATATATTTTTAGCATTTAGATGAAAAAAAAAAAAAAAATGCGAAAAAAAAAACGAAAAAATACCATGTAATTTTTATCGGCCGCTCCGACTGTTGTTAAAACAATAATAATAATATCATTGTGCGTCACTAAATCACTGTTGTCGTTTTGTAGTTTGTAGGTGGGGTTTTAACTGTAAATTTCTTCCGACATGTCGGACCGCCACTATTTAAAACCGGCCAGTGTGCAGGAAATCGCAGCCGACGTTGGGAGTGGAGCAGCTATATTGGAAAACAACGTTGCGTTTCGCATCGACGGGAACCCAGTCGTCCGCCCTCGCAATATCCGTTTGTTATTACTGAGGATTTTCCGGACCGATTTACGCAACAATGGTAAATTATTAAAATATTCTTATTTACGAGCGTTATTTTTTTTTCTCTCGCGCGATATTTCACGTTTTCGGTTATTTCTAGTAGGTATTCATTATACTTTAAAAACCGATAAGAATTTTATTCCCAATATGAATAATAATAAACGAAACAAATTGTTAAAAAGTGGAATTAACAAAGTGGTTTCTAGATTAAAAATATCAACCCAGCAACACGCATTTATTATAACATACTAATCGCGGGTATAGCATTCCGGTTTTCGTTTGTTTGTTTCATTTCATTAGTAATTATAAAAACCACGGTAAGCGCCTAATAATTATTCTGTTTTGTTTCATGTAAGACGTGCCATATCGAAAATTATATACTTATAAACAGTAGACTTCATAAAACGTAAAAGACCGTTAGAACAGATAGCGTATCATGTTTACCTTGTAAAAATACAATATGCGCATTAAATGTTGCAATGAAGCTATTCAGTTTTACTAAAACCCGGGTTTTTTCTCAGGTAACCTATGATGAAACATTTTTCGAATTGCAAATCATTTTTCTAAACATTTTTGTTTTAGAAACTTTTTAACGAATAAACAGGTGCACAGTCCTCAAGAGTTTAAATTCATATAGGCTACATGTTATACATTAAATCACGCGTAAATCACGATTGATTGCGAACATATTAACAATAATGGACTTTTAACATTAGCCGAACTCTTATATAAATATTTAACAGCTAATAGCCATAATATTATTATATAAACAATAAATACAATTTTTTTTTGTATACAAATCAAATTTAATTAAATAGAAAAAAACGCGCATTAGTTATATAAAATGCATTAATCATATTTGTATGTACTCGACGGTCTCTTTAAATCCAATTTGATATTTTTTCTAATAACAGGGAAAAACTTAAAACAAAATAATATCTCGAAATCGGATTTGTAAATTCTATATATTACGGGAGCTCATAAACTGAGCTTCGTTTAGAATCGTTTTTTGCATTTTATGAATGTATCTTTACTATCAATTTTATTATATTTTAGATTCTGAGTGAAGCGAGAGATGTATTGGTTTTACTACCTATGATGTGTTTTTTTTTGTATCTGCACACAACTAATTTATCAGAATGCTTCCTCTAATCAAAAACTACATAAGAACTTTCTTGTAGCATTTTTGATAAAGTCGATGCATTGAAGTAATTGATGGATTATTCGTGTAATTTTCTTAAAAACTGGGGAAAATTGGTAATTATTTGTATAACTAATGTTGACTTTTGAGTTACCTTGTTAACAAGGGAAAAAATACAACTAATAAACACTGTTAATAATACATACCCGAAAATACTCCGCTCAAAATCTTTTTTCGCATAAATTAAATTGCTCTGTACATATGTATATCTTCCCTTATAACTTCGCTCCTAAAGCAGTAGCACATCCATCAGTAGTATTAGCTTTTTTTTTTTTCAGACGCTTCGAATCATACGGTTATAATCATGATTTTGTGTTTGTTTGTTTTAGTTTGTGCCCAGGTTATTGGCTATTTTCGCAGCGTTCTTAGTTTGCACGGTATACGCGCAGAGACCGTTTTACGCGTCCTCTAACCAGTATCCCGGTGTTTTACCGCAAAACATGCCGCCCAATTCAGATTTGGATAACAGATTCGGTGGTAGTACCACTCCGGATCCATACAAGGCCTATGAAAAAGTTCCGGTATACAATGTCGAAAAAGTATTGGTCGATAGAATAAAAAACGAGTACCCGCGGGACAAGCAACCGTTTTGGTACGTGAACGCCGCCCAATTGAACAACATGAGATATCAAGAGCAACAAGCTCAATTGCAATTCGATCAGATCATTGAGGCGCTGAGACGTCAGCAGGAGGCGTCGTCGTCAACATATTATTACGGACAGTAAAATTGTTCAACGACAATATGATACTACCCTGATAATTAAAAACCTATATATTATTACGTAAAAAAAAAAATTATATATCGGCATATCAAAAATAATATTTATCAGACACAATGTCCCCATTGACTAAGATTAATATTACTATTTTATTTGATTACAATGTTTTCATTACGCGATAAGGTAAAAATTAATAATTTCGATTAAAAAACATCGGAACAGATAAATTAATTTTCGCGTTAAAATGTCGGTTTATTTTTCACTGAATTTATAGTGGGAGGGGCAACACGTGGCGTTGTATTTAATTTTCTTGTTCCCCGGAAAATTTCCTATAAATACCCTACTGTTATTATTTATTTAAGGGGATTGTCGAGAGTGCATAATTTTAGTTGGTTTAGACCTACTACCTAAATAAAACTGTAATAATAGTGTTGGACCTGTTTCAATTTTAATTGAAAACGGATTATGTTTCTCTAGGTTCTTTACCAGGATAATTTGGAAATATAAATTTATTTTTTTTTTTCTGAAAATCGCGAAAAAAATTGATTGTATTTTTGATAAGTTTTCAAAAAATATAATTAAAACACTTTATTTTTTTACCTTATGAATAATAAAATTAACATTGAAAAAATAGTTACGTTTTCTAACGTAATTCCTACAGTTTTGTCTGATATTTTATGCCCGTAAAAACGGCCATACCTTTTTCCCATAAATGATCAGTAAATTAGTGGAAATGTCTTTTATCATTTAAGCGGTTCTTCCGTAATTACTGACTATTGTGATTAATTCTCATGCGTCGAGGTATTAATGTATACGTTTAGCCATTATTTGAAAAAAAATTATTTTGTTCTGTACGATTGTGTTTGTAGTAATTACAATTATTTTAATTCGTCTTAAATATCAGAGTCGTAATTCAAAACTGTATTGTTTTTGTAAATTATTTAATTGTTCTGTGTTGAATAATACAACACTATCTATTCTACAAATATATATGTATTAATATTTTTAAACGTACACCTATTACCTACACGATGCGTATTCGTTTTCAAAATTAAACGATTTGTTTAAATTGTATTTATTGTTAAATTAAAAATATATTATTTATATGACATAATATGTAGTTATTTATTTCGTATTATAATAATTAATAACTCGGAATTTGATTCTAGATAATTTATATTGCTCCCTTTATTAATTTTATGTTAAAAAATCGCCAAAATGCCGTCTTGTTTAAAACGCGTTCAAAGTTATATACAAAACCGGATTACAATGTAACATCTAACTTTGAGTTTTGAGTTTAGAGTTTAAAGTGAAGCGCATATGTTAAACAATTGCTCGTTAGGTCAAGTCAGCCAAATAGAACATTTAATTTTTTTTTTTTTATAAAAAAATTAACCCAAGTAAGTTACTTAGTGAAATATTCTGGAAAAGTCATTTTTCGTTCCAATTGTTTGGTAAATATTATGATTTTTTGTTAATCCGACAATGTTATTTAACGCATATTATTGATGTTCTTTGTTGCTAAAAAGTATAAATAGCTTCTATCATAAATCCTATAACAATTATTGTGGTGAAACTACCTATCTATAATGAGTTCGTTGAGCCCACACGTGCAGTAGCTATTTGTTTGTACACTGATTTATCGTAATTACAGAGAGGTAAAATGATGATGATGGGGATACACCCCCCCCCCCATTATCTCATTTTTCTTAAATATACTTATAATAACAAACTGTTTGATATATTATATAGTTCTTAAAATTATCCACGTTCTCCTCTCATTAAAAAATCATTTGACTGTATGACTATACATATCTTGGCAGAAATTGGCCAATGTCTCTTTTGGTGGAAATGTGTATTTGCAGAAATGAGAGTGGTTCGTTTTGGTGGAAATCGGTGATGCTGTATGTGTGGATATATAGTACTATAACACCAGCCACTTGGAAACGGAAAACATCAGCCGACTATTGTCTATCTGTGAAAAGCTCAGAGGGGGGGTATACGTATAGCCGCAAACATAACAACTCCTAGAACACGAAATATCAAGTTGCTAATTAATATAGCACATAAAACAAGAAGTTGTGCGCAGGATCCATTTCGTTTTCACAATTATACGAGTACGTTTTTGTCAGAAACGCGGAACAAGTAATATTTCCGGAGGGATCCAGAATACACGACGGAGCTACCGACAACATCAAATTAGACGAGTTTTGACAGTTAAATCTAAATCACCATGACGGCACACTGCTGTACAATACAATTATTAGTCGCGATTGATTCATTTTGAAGTTAAATAAAATAACTTTAACACTTTTGACTGCAACGTTTTTGACACAAATCATTACAATTCTTTTCGGGATTTGCAGTCTGAAAGGCTGACCGTAATATTATTACTAATAATTACTATAAGGAACGTAATTTTGACATTTGTATATGTATATACAAATAAATAAAAAATTACACATTAAGCGTTTTAAGGATTATTTTATTCGTATCTAATTAATATAGTAATAATTTATTGTATATAATAAGTAGGTAAGTAGTAAATACAGGTACTTAAAATGCATAAATTGTTTAAACGTAAGTACGTACAGGATCGGACTGGACAAAAGTGCATAGATGAAAATTAGTTATAATTAAGTATCTACATTTTTGTTTAAATAAATCCTATATAATATTATCTAATTAAGTATTTATTTATATTCGTATTGTTTGGTGCGAAATCGTGTAGCCATTTACTTATAACATAATGACGAATAAGAACATGAATAAATATTTGGAAAATCATTTATTTAAGTTAAAGTGTAATAATAAAAAATACTTGGTAATAAATCGTGCGTTAGTTTTATATCTGTACTGAATAAATATTAAGTATTAAAATATTGATTGGCCAAGAATCATCGGCCGAAAAATGGCAATACAACCGTTTAAAACCCGTTATAGAAAAAAGTCTAATAAATCTAAATTTTACTATTCCAGTCCGGTCTATAATAAATAATGAGGAACATACACGATAATATTAAACGGAGTTGACAGTATATAATATGAGTAATAATAATAATAATAATAATAATAATAATAATAATAATAACAAACTCGATGGGTAATTATGCAAGTATAAATATCTTAAGTAAGTAGTCGAAAATCGGTTTTATAATTGGCTTGAATACACACACTGATAAAAGACCACTACAAAAACTATAAATATAATAATATTATTGTTTACTTAATACTTCATGTTATAACCGTCTACACGATAATACACTATTACCAATTACAATTACCGAATGCAATATAACAATATATTGAACTATACTTATTGAATAATTTAAGAGAATGTATAGCTATATTTTTTAAAATTTAATTCATCATTTAATAAGATTAAAACATTATGCAAAGACAATAAATTACCGAAAATCCGTAACTACTTAGATAGAAATTTAATAACATCGAAACGTAACAGTGAATAATTATAAAAAATTAGTAACAACTATCTATGTTCTATATGTTTTACAACAAGTTTTAATATAATACTTTTAATAGTAATGATATGTAAATTCCAAAAAATTTGATATGTATTAAGTTAGTATGGCTCTTATACAGTCTTGGACAAGTGAATTTTCTTAAGTAATTTATTTACTGTAATAATAACTCATTACTTTTGATATTACACTTTCGCTGTCTACAATTTGTATATTATTAAGTTACCTATACAACTTTGTCTTCTAAAATTATAGAAGCATAATTATAGGTACTATTTAAATTACTTTTTTTTGTAATTCTTCTGGCAGAAATATATTGTTTTTTAAATTATAATTTATAGAGAATAAAGGAACCGATGAAATTAATTTTTATCATATAATAACGAATTACCCTGCAATGGTAATTCGTTATTATACAGTCGGAATTCCTATTGGCAAGAAATGAAGTTACTAAATTTCATTACATATAAACAGGCCCGGCCGAATGAGGTAGTAAAATGAGGCAGCTGCCTAGGGTGGACGTTTATTGGGGGTAGCAAAATTTAGTAAATAAGATGTGAAAAATTGTATATAACATACTTTGACAGGGTGGCTAACATTGAAAGGGTTGCTAAAAATGTAGATATTAGCCTAGGGTGGTAAAATACCTTGGACCGGTCCTGAGTCTATGAAATAATGAAATTATTACAGTAATTCATAGGCACGTAACTTAGGTTACCAATTATACTGTCCAAGACCGGTTCTTAATAATTATTAGTCGTATATAATATAATTGATATGTTTGAATTATAATATTGATATGTATATTTAAATTGTATACGTTTCTAAACACACATATATAGGAAGATACAAGTAGATTATAATTTTCGAGTGAATATAATTGTAATTATAATATAGCTGCCGATATCTGAAGTGCAGTATCTACTTAGAATTTCTGTTCTTTTAGCAACATACAAGATATCTCTGTGGAATTTGAAAATTTCTAAATAATCCTGTATTATATTATGCGGTAATTTAAAACTTGTACAATATTAAAAGGTGTGTGGAGGGGAACCAATAAAATAATACATAAAATCGATGACGTTTTAACGACGATGTAAAATGAATATAATTAAAAATATTTATTAACACCAATGAATCTTATGTAACACTATATTAAAACGTAATCATCTGCAGGTATCAATAATACAGTAGGTATACTCAATTATTATTGAATTATTTTTATAAACATAATAATATAATATAAAACAAATTAGGTTGATATGGTGTTGTTATTGTATTTTGATTTTAGTAAATGTTTGTTGTTTATTGTTGCGTTAGATTAATATTTTATATGTATACTTGATCGTTTTTAAAAAATAATTCAACGATACCCGCAGAAAATCACTGGTAAATAAGTAACGATGTATTATTAATTAACTCTCAACGATTAAAAAGTAAAAACAATTATTCCAAGTTTAACCGTCGTAAAATGTTCAAAATACATTTAAAATAACGTAACATTAAAATATTTTAACAAATAATAATTAAGTAACAACAAGTGCTTAAAATTTAGATTCGATATGTGACGTGATATGCATAATTATAATATAGGCAATGAAGTGCATTTGAAAATAAGTGACGGGTAACTATAGATTTCAAAGTGAAAGCACTAAATAACTTATTTTATCACACAAAGACAATAATAATGGTAGGTGGGTAATAACGAGCATACTAAAAGATAAGAACGTTCCGGTCTGAGGAATATGATGCGAATTTCGACGACATATCATAATATAATAGCGTGGTCTCAGTTTCTTCTCATGTACAGCATTTTCTGCATAGCCATCAGACTTTGTTCGAGGGCTGCCGTAAATGCGTTGTTGTTTGTGAATTTAGACGATTTGAACGAGGACACGCAGAATATCAAATTGTTGTTCTGCGGATTATAGGAAACGCCGTAACCGTCGGATACCACCGGTCCATATCCCATAAAACTGTCGGTCGATGTTAATAACTGTATTGTAATACGTAGAAAAAAAAAACAAACGTAAACAGGCGCATTAATATACAGATAAAATACCGAGTACACGTGTACATTATAATTAAACGACACGAAGACCGGACCGGGTCATGCTTGGCGGAAACGTGGTACTATATAGTTGTGATAAGAGCGATTGATAATCGAACGGGACCCGATGAGAAAAACGCTGTCGGAAGAATCCGTTAAACACGCGAATACTGTGCGTTACGTTCGTAGCGGGTCTAAATGGAGAAAACCGGAGAAAAACGGTTATTGTAAAAACTGAAACGGTTCGAGACGAACGTTTTGTGTGACGGGATTCTCTCGAATTGTCATACGGATTGCCAATGAAATGTACAATAATTATTGTACGGGTAAAAATAACTCGCGTTCGTAATTTTAAGGTAAAAATAATAATATTATACAATTATATTGACGCGTTTCGTCACCAATATAAAATTCATGTTTATAAGTCGGTACTCTGAAAAAGAGACGTTATATTATTCCGGAGTACAACCGGAACGTAATATCGTTTTTTTTTTTTCAAAAACGAATAATTTCCCACGATAAATATTTGTTTAATTAACGTCTATTTAATGTTTTACAAAATCCAAGAGTTATAGAGCACCCACTACCTATAGCGTACGGGCAGCAGACGAACTGTTAATGTTAATAATACCAATGCGTTTCGCTTTTAATTACGCGTGTACGGATTTTCGATTGGACAATGTATTAACACGGAACAACAATTTACTTGACTTGTTGACAACGCAAAGTGATTGGCAATTCTGAACGAATCGTCCTCGAATATTGTGCAGGGCATGGCGTTCTCCCGCGCTGCCTGTCTCAATCCCAACAGATGTACGTCTATGCCCATGCCGAGAATGTTGTCGATCATGACGTCGGTCTGTTTTTTCACCGCCGACTCGAACAGTTGTAATTTCTCGTTCTGAATATCGTATGGAAAAAACAAAACAAAACAAAACGTATCATATTATAAGTAAAAAAAAAAAAATAAATATATTTTCCGTCGAATAAAAATCCCGATATCCCGTGCCGTTAATGCCGTTCCCGTGGAACGTACGGTTTTAACATTACAGAAACGTTTTCAACAGAATAACGGGCCGGTGTAGGTATTATTATTACATCAGTCACTGTATAGAATATCTTCTTTGTGCCTAATATGCTCGTTTCTGTGACGGCAGATTGATTCATTGCCTTGGCCCATTCTAACGCTTCCGTGGTCGCCGCCCGAATACAGTCCACTCTTCCTAATCTGAAACGTCTCGTGGAGGCGCTTTCGTACGTGGCCACCAGTTTTCCGTGTAGTCTAAAACGAATCATTGTCATCGGTAAAACGCGGTTTTCGAGCAAACGCCAATGCAATATTTTGACAACGCGCTGTCGGTACTTACTTATGATAGGCCAGCTGCATGGACAGTTGAACGTAAACGTCTGGACTGATTTTACACGATTTGATGAATTCCTTTCCGTATTGAGTGAACCGGAATACATGGAAATCCAAATCTTTGACTAACCTGAATGTTTAACGCACGTCTAAGTGAAAAAAACTTTGCTATTGCATTTTTGCAAAGTTTATTTTTGACCGTTACAAACTATAAGCAGGTTATATTTTAAAATTAAATATCGCGGTTGATAATTGTATTTGTGTAAATAATTTGGTCGACAGTTAGTAAAAGAAACTGCGTAAATATTGAAATCGTTTGAAGTGGGCAATGCTTTTTATGACGTTAA